GGGTTAGGGTTAGGGTTAGGGTTAGGATTAGGGTTAGGGTTAGGGTTAGAATTAGGGTTAGGGTTAGGCACATTGGTTTTATTGGCACCCATGTTCTCTATCCTTGGGCCATAAAGACAGATAAATTATACACGACACCTTCGACCATCATTGCGTACGTTCTGTGACGACGCAATAAAAATCTTCCCTACAAAACTATCGTTCGCCAAACTCATCCTAAATGCATCTTTTCATTTTTGCGAAATCTTCGACAGTTGCCGTTCTACTTATTACGTTTGCAGCCTACGAGATACTACATTTCACAGTCCCACCGTTACCAGTCGGCCGGAGAACGATAACACTCTGCAGGGATGCACGTTGCTGAACACACGAGCCAGTTACTGCTACCGGAATAGAATAACATTGTGCAGATATAAACGTCTCGGCATACAGAATCCGAGTAGTACTTCTCTTGTCAGACGAAAACCACACTTCGCCGAGCGTAGGCATTTCGTACATGTGTGCATTTCCGCGACGAACGATGTAAACAAGAACAAACACTCACCTGTAGCAAGTGTTTTTTCGGTTTCGGACCTCTCTTCAAGCCAGTGTAGCCCCTCTCCTGCAAACTGCAATCGAGAACATTCACTCTGCAGTTGTCTCCACCGCCCGAACAGCGCACGCAATTTGCAACGGAGAAGTCTACGCGCAATGTAAACAGCCGGGCCGAAATCTGACCGCCATATTGGAAATTTTCGTACTCACCTCCGTTCGAAAGCTTCCAGTAATCTATCGTCGAGTATATTTTCTTCCGGTTCCCATGTGTTGTATCTGTCAAATTAAGAATCATTGATAAACGTAATGCATGAAATTGGACGCGATGCGATAAAGAAAATTCGAGAAATTTGAAATTATTGTAACGGTACTTACTTCGGACTCCAGCCTTTCCATTTCACGAGATATTCCACTCGGCCCTAAAAACATAAGGCGACAATTTAGCTCTGCGATGCGGTTTACAAGAACGCAACAACAACTACACTACGATAAACGGATGAACCTCATTCCATACCTTACGTATCCGCTTCTTTTCGATGCGCTCGGCGGCGAAAACACGTTCTCCGACACCAGAAAGTTCCATGATTTCGTCAAATTCTTCCGACTTCACCATTTGATGTTATTGTGCTGCTGCGTACATTACTGGCCGCAATCGTTCCGCAACAACTATGACAGCTACCCATAATACACCGCACGCGTGACGTCACGTGTTTTATTCGACTCGGCTGCGGGTGCCTGCTGTAGAAACGTTTGCTTCGATGTAATGAGTGCATGCAGCTGCGTGTTGCGAGTAGGATAACGTAACAGAGACGATATAACGCCTCATAAAGTAATAATGGATTGATAGCTAGAGGATGCGGGGAGTTAGTTGGCCGTGTGATGCTAAGTGACTGAGGGATTTGTTTAAGGGTCTATGCAAGTTTAATAATTTTTTCCCCTCGATGGATCGCGCGTCGTGGGGAATAAAATTCCGTGTAAATATCTCGTGAATATAATTATTATAATTAGACAAATTATAATTATGAGCGCTCAAGTACCCTTTATTGTCAGCACGGGCAATTAGTTTGGACACGCATAGATACTGATGCAAATTTAAAACGAAATTATTAGCATTTATGCAATTCTTTTTGAAACCTACATTTAAGACACACATATATACTATCTCGAATAAATTTCTTTTATACTATCATTTCATGTTTAGAGTAGGCTGTGGACCAATATATATTTCTTTGACAATAGTTTCGTTTTAATGATGATGGTATAAATGTGATGAGTGAATTATAATGTCTTAAAAGTGAATGGGCAAAGAGAGCTTGCATGCAAACATGGCATTTAAAACCCTACTAAAATACTAAAGTAGCTTAGCATAATGAGTTGACCACGTGAGTGAATACATTATAAAACGCACATTATAAATGCGCATACATTTTATGATTTCTTGTTGATATTATATTATAGTGATTCACGCATTAATTCTCTCGTATTTTACCAGAGCGCGCGCACACACGCACGCGCATACATATACGCACGTACGCACGCATGCACACACGCACGCACGAGCATACATACACACACGTACGAACACACGTACATACACACAAACACATACTTATGTGCGCGCACGCACACACACACGCGCGCGCGCACGCACGCACACACACGAACAAGCGTATATATAACTCTTTTTTTATACGGTATAGGCACACGCACACACGCATGTACACACACACACACACACACACACACACACACACACACACACACACACACACACACACACACACACACACACACACACACAAATATATATATAAGTAAAACTGATTTGATCACCACAACTGTCTTTCACCACTCTGAAATATTTCTACATTTACGTATAATTACGACAATTTACGGATTAATGAGTACGCATATTCTAATCTTTATATCGTGATCAATATGGTAATAAAATTGAGAAACCGAATCCTATCATCGGATCACAATAATCCGTAAGGCGTACACGCCATATACTTGTAACTATGTGTATTCTAATCGTAACGGCGCGCTGCTGCCACACGCACGCTGTCCACAATCAATAAAATGTGGAGCTATTATATACGTGCCGATCATAGATAGATACAGATGGCTCTTGGCTATAAACGGGGCTTCATTAGACGTTACTTCCTTATACAGATACATAAATAATATTTAAACGCCGTGCTGCAGCAGGGAAGCCCGAGATCTGGGTCATTAAATCGCATGTATGTAAAGAAGTAAATGCGCCACGATCACGGTGCGCGACTGTTCATACAGCGACAGTTTCTTCAAGGAAGGGGGCGTAACGTTCTAGCTGTGGGGACGACGGATGGGCAGGGGCGTGCGGGGCAGGGACAGCCCGAGATCTGCGTCATAATCGCCGTGTATCGAAGAAAAAATGTGTTCACGGATCGCGTGAGCGGCTGTTCATCCAGGCGAGCTTTCTGCACAAGGAACGTAACATGTTTAGCTGCGGGAGGCCGTGATGCAGCAAGGACCAGCTCACGAACTGTGTTTTCATTAATCGCCGTGTGTTCGTCCGGCGACAGCATGCTTACAGAACTGGCAATGCTCGTAGCCTTGCCAACGTATCGTGACTGCAAGGACGGACAGTGATGCAGGACTGCATATCGTCAGCGATGGACACCAATTGTGTGGCGACGTGGCATCTAACAGGGATAGCCAATGGAGGAAGAGAATGGCGAGCCGCTGGCAGGTGACCAATGAAGAGACTTGGTGGGAGGCAGCGCGTGGGAGTAATCCCGCCGTCGCTCACCACGACACAAACTGATGTGCCCTTTCATGCTGGCATGTGGTATGTGAACACAACATGTCGCGTGGCCAATCTGGCCCGTGATCATTTTACCGTGCGGGTATTTTACACGACGCATATACTAGTGACGAAGCATCGGAAGCTGAACTGTGGGAACAGTGTGGGAGCGTATGTCTTACAGCATTGCGCCTCGACGCGTAATTCGACTAGTGCTGCACTGTATCGAGGACAGATTCTGCGACTCGTGGCACTCGTGAAGAGCGAGCATGACTTGGCCGTGGGCGGGTACACGAACGCAGAGGGGGGGGAGGCTCTGAGGGTCACGCCGTGGGGTCACGGCGCGAGCCCCCCCGCCAGTTGGTAAAGTATTCAGCTTCGATGTGTTACGGGTAACTTTGTTGATTGTGATGTTCGCTCTTCGTAAGCATTTGTAAATATATGTTTGCCGTCGCAACGACGGATCGATTTTTAAAACGTATTGCCAAATTCAAACATTGGATTCGATCGCAGCGTGTAATTTATGCGGCAGCCCCCCGAACAACTGTTCGTACAGTGTTTCTCACGTTCGTATGTAGCATTAACCGCACAACTTATTGTTGTTAATGTTCAATAATTCATGGACACCGTGCTTGTCTGCTCACGCGCGATACGATGATGCTATTTAATTTGCGTGAATTTACAGCCACCGCTCCATAGTTGTACAGTTTGTATTTATTTCGTTCTGTCATCTCGAATGAAATGAAATCGCCAATTTGATTGCCGGTCGGGAAAGCCGTGTTGGTGGAAACGACATGACGAGGCCGTTTTATTCGACGTCGTGCGTGTTGTGTGTTCTTGTGTTTTTTTAATGTTATCTAACC